CCTAGTGGTACCAAAAACCCCAGGTTTCACCCTAAAGTGACCAAAACCTCCCAGTTTTCACCCTAAAGGGACCAAAACCCCCCAATTTTCACCCTAAAGTGACCAAAACCCCTCAATTTCCACCCTAAAGTGACCAAAACACACGTTTTTCACCCTAAAGAAGCAAACCCACCTCATTGTCACCCTAAAGTGACCAGAAAACCCAGAGTTTTCACTCTAAAGTGACCAAACCCCCCCAATTTTCACCCTAAAGTGACCAAAACCCCCCAATTTTCACCCTAAAGGGACCAAAACCCCCAATTTTCACTCTAAAGGGACCAAAACACCCAGTTTTCTTTCTAAAGTGACCAACCCCCCCAATTTTCACCCTAAAGTGACCAAAACCCCCCAATTTTCACCCTAAAGAGACCAAAACCCCCAGTTTTCACCCTAAAGTGACCAAAAAAAACCCCATTTCTCACCCCAAGTGACCAAAACCCCCCAGTTTTCCCCCTAAAGTGCCCAACCCCCCCATTTTTTCACCCTAAAGTGACCAACCCCCCTGTTGTTAAGAGCAAATTTGCCTCTTTGGGCACCTCGTGATCCAACACTTGAGCTACTCCTTGGGAAAACCACGTTTCTCTCATCCCTCTTCCCATCCAGACTCAATTTTCCCTGAATCCTTTGGGATTACGGGAAGAAACTGGAGTTAAAATCACAAAACCCAGCGTTGGGTCCCCACTTGTTGGGATTTTCCCCATTTTCACTGTTTCTTTACAGTTTGGGCCGTTCCTGGATGCCAAACACGAGCAAGTGGAGGTGAGGGAGGATTTGGGGGTCCCATTGGCTTCACCCTTTGGGGGTGTCCCCCACGTACACCCCAAAAGACAATGGAATTGGGCAAATCCCATTGTTTTTCCCCCCAACTCCCAGAACTGCCAACTCCTGGGGTCTTTCTCTGACATCTTCAAGCTCTGCCTGAAGATGATCATCGAAGGAACGAGAAGGTAGGGACATTCCCATGGGATTAGGGGACAAAAGAGTGGGTCTGGGGACAAATCCAAGGGGAAAAAGACCCGGGAATGGTTGGTGACAGTGTTGTCCCTGTGGTGTGAGGGACAGCACGGAGGAGGACCAAGGAGGCAACAACACGGCTTAACGCCGGGTGACATGTGCTGAGGGGGGGGGGACACCCCAAAACATCTCGTGTCAGCCTCGAAAACACCTCCCGTCACCCCTAAAACACCTCTTCATGCCCCCCAAACACCTCCCGTCACCCCCAAAACACTTCCCATCACCCCTCAAAACACCTCCCGTCACCCCCCAAACACCTTCCATCACCCCCAAAACACCTCTTCATGCCCCCAGAACACCTCCCATCACCCCCAAAACACCTCCCATCACCCCTAAAACACCTCCTGTCACCCCCAAAACACCTCTTCATGCCCCCAAAACATCTCCCGTCACCCCCAAAACACCTCTTCATGACCCCAGAACACCTCCTGTCACCCCCAAAACACCCAAACCCACCTCATTATGCTCCAGAACACCTCGTGTCATCCCAAACCACCTCGTTATACCCCAAACCACTCCTCCCACAGCACCTGAGCATGATCGGAGGGGGGGATTTCAACCACTTTTGGGTCTTTTTCCCTGCTGGAATTGCCCCGGAGGGGCTGGATTTGAGGCTGTTCCTCTGCCTGTTGAGGAATTGCCTGTTCTTGTCCCTGTTCCTCCGGCAGCGCGGGCTCCCAGCTCGTGTTCGTGCCCTCGGCACGTGATGTCCACCACGACTACATCTACCCCCAGCCCCCATTCTGCTGCCCGGAGCTGCCCAAGGAGGACAAGCAGGTACCAACCCTCAGCTCCCCCATTCCCAGGTTCTTATCCCAAAAAAAACCCTAGTTTTCCATCAAA